TGAAATAAATAAATAAAACTCCTGCCCTTCCTCTTTGGCGCTCAGGATGGTACACAAGGTTCTTCCATATCTGATGTTCACAACAACCCTATCGGGTAGGTTAGTCTGACAGACAGTGACTAGGCCAAGGTCACCCAGTGAGTTTTATTGTACAGTGGAGATCTGCCCCAGGTCTCCCCAGTCTGGTAAAGTAAGACTGGCTCACACAGTCAATATCGCTCTTTCTGGAGGCCAAGACCTTCGTAATGGCAAAGTAACTGCCATTATGCAGTCTTCTCACCACTGGGCAACAATCCTGCAGAACTGGCGATCATGCCATTCTAGCAGCGTAAGAACCAGCCCTGAGACAGCTAGAGGCCCAACATACTAAAGGCAAGGCCAATGAAAATGCGCTGGCATTGACTTCGAAATCAGTTTAGTACCTGGAATGAGTAATTCTGTCAAACTTCGATATCCTTTATTAAATGCCAAGAGTTAAACTAATACTTGAAAGAAATGACGTAGAGCTCTTCATGTCATAACGATACACAATTAAAACGGAGGCAGGGAATCCTAACGAAACGAAAAGAGCTTTTTGTGATCTGAGCTGGATCTCCATCTGAGATACAAACGGGAGCTGTCGCATTCTAGAAAGCTGCTCTGTCAGCACTGTATAACCATTACTTAGGCTCACTGAAAGCTACAGCTGTGATAAACTTAAGATCCTTAACTCAGAAGCTAGGATGGCTTGCTACTTTTCCAATTGCAATGCTGCCTTATGCCGATGACATTGTGGGGAGGTGACCGCTGAAAATGGAGGGGCAAAACTAAGCTTCTGTATCACCAGGTGTTAGCTGACTTTGGATACAGGCACATCCAAGACACACCAGTCAGTCCATTATGTTTTTGACAGCTGTGTCATAAGAATGCACCTGTAGCACTTGTCAGTCTAAACTAACCCTGTATAAAGTGTTACCTGCACCTCTAGGTTCGTAATGGTCTGGTGAATGCCCCTTACCAAGGCGGGTAGAATGTTAAAAGAAAGTTAGCTGGAATGCAACACAAGGTTATTTAAACAATAAAATAGTTTATTAGCTAAATACAAGCAAGAAATACAAAACAGAATACTTGCTTCCTAAAAATAGACAGTCAGTGGTTATATATACAGAACAAAGAATTTCCCCATGCACAGAAGCCTCTGGACTGTCCCAGAGAGTTCAAGAAAGACAAAGCCTTCTCTGGATCTCCAAGGGTCAGTACTGAAATGAAGCTTCTTGCCTTCTTTTATACTATATTGGTCCCATACATTTCGATAGAGCTTTAGAAATTATAAACTGCATCAATTAATCTAACTGCTCTGTTAATGTGGGCCATCATGGCCTAGGAAATGTTCCCACAATCCAGAGGCAATGGGGGCACCCTGATGCTCTTTTGCAAAACAATGCAAGATAGCATTTAAATCTCTAAATGACAAAGAATACGAATGTTACAATTTCAGGATGTTCTTTGTTTCCTTGACTCAGAGCAGACAGTCAGGCACTGTTTGCTGGCTGGAGGTGTGCAGTGAGTGTCTGCATATAGGCAAGCCTTTAGTATTGCAAATATTCTGGCTTCCTTGACTTAATGGCAGGTGCATACCAATCTTTTATTTCTAAATGTTTCCAAATTCTTTAGGTTCATGAACAATGTAATGCAAATGTTGGTTCCTGTGTACGATGGAGGAAAGATATCTCTTGAGACAAAGGTCTAGCAAAAATCATGTTGGGAGTCATGTGCTGCTAGCTGTTTGGAAAGTTACAGAAATAGAGGAGAGAGAAAGACTATGATTTATTTATGAAATTAATTGTATAAATGGGTTTTAAATTTTCTGAACCATTTTATTTTTCTCACAACAAGCTGCTCACCCTGTGCTGAGAAGGCTACTTCTGTAGGTCCCCCAGGATTTGGTTTGGGGTATATTTTCTCATAGTGAAGGCTTTGTTTGTATGGGTGAGACTCTCCTGCATGTACACAGCTTGCTGTGAAGCTCTTTGGTTCAAATCTGCATTTGGCATCAAAACAAATATAAAAGGACAGCCAAGGTAGCATAAATTGCTTTTAAGTATAGAGGGTATATCTTTCAGGGGCTACTAGCCATACAACCTTCATTTTAAAGGACGGCCTACAGCTGACTACCAGATGCTGGGGTTTAATAAGGGGTGTGTGTGGAATAGTCACAGACTGGGCACCTTATACAACACTAAGTTATATGGACTGTTGCTATAGCCAAAGTTAGCAAGTCTTCCAGTTTAGGAAGACGGCATGAGGCACTTCTTTATATTTGGTCGTGTGACTGTGACTCAGGACTACAGCATCTGGTTTGCATGCAGAAGGTCCCAGATTAAATCCCCAGTATCCACAGTTAGAATAATAAGGTAGCAAATTATATGAAAGATTTCTACTTGAGAGCCGCTGCTGGTAAACACTAACTAAATAGGTCAATGAGCTGACTGGCAGCTTATGACACATAGCACTCACTAAGTGCTTTGGCACTCCATATGTATTACCTGAGGAGGAAGAAGAAAAGATTGGATTTATACCCTGCCCTTCGGAACTTACAAACTCATTTCCCTTCCCCTCCCCCTCCCCACAACAGACACCCTGTGAGGTAGGTGGGGCTGAGAGAGCTCTTTCAAGGACAGCTCTTATCAAAACTATGGCTTGCCCAAGGTCATCCAGCAGCTACAAGTGGAGGAGGGGGGGAAATCAAGCCTGGTTCTCCCAGATTAGAGTCAGCACACTTAACCACTACACCAAACTGGCTCTCACACTTCCATCATTCTGCAGAATGTCCAGGAGGGCATTTTTATAAAGGGATTGGAACTGTAGTAAAATGGAACAATCCAGGAGAGCACACTAAAGTTGAACAGGATTGTAGTTTCTTGTGATTATTAACTTTGGTATTGCCCAGCTTTTCGGCATTGTCTTATAACTTGTAATTCTGCTTTCTACATTGTTTATAGTACACCTTGCCTCAGAAAGTTTGTTGTTCATATTGCTTTCTAATTCTGTAATCCCAGCCCTACTGCATTATTCATTGGTTGTATTGTGTTGTCTGAAGTTTTTATATTCTGTAACAAGCCTTGAGTTCCAGTGAAAAGGGCAAGCTATAAATACAGCAACTAAATAAATCTCAGTGGCTGTTAATATGATACCCTTCAGGGTGGACAGTGAGTGATTAATATGTGGAATTTGATGCCAGAGAAGAAGAAGAGTTGGATTTATACCCCACCCTTCACTCAGAGTCTCAGAGCAATTTACAATCTCCTTCCCTTCCTCTCCCCACAACAAACACCCTGTGAGGTAGGTGGGGCTGAAAGAGCTCTGAGAAAACTGCTTTTGAGAGAACAGCTCTGAGAGAACTATGACTGACCCAAGGTCACCCAGCTGGCTGCATATGGAGGACTGGGGAATCAAACCCGGTTCTCCAGATTAGAGTCTACTGCTCTTAACCACTGCACACCAAACTGGCTATCACAATGGCCACAGGCATAGACGGCTTTAAAAGAGGATTGGACAGATGCATGGACAATAGGTCTATCAGGGGCTATTAGCTAGGGTGACTAAAGGGAACCTCCACATTCAGAAGCAGTCAGCCTCTGAATGCCCATGCCAGGAGGCAACTTCAGGAGAAGGCCTCAGCCTCTATGTCCTGTTGTTGGACCTCCAGATAACTGATTGGCCACTGTGTGAGACAGGATCCTGGACTAGATGGACTACTGGTCTGATCCAGCAAGGCTCTTATATCCTGTAGCTAAGGCTGAGGCTGGATATACCGTAGTGTATTTTAAATCTGTGCTTAATGCTCCTAAATACAGTAACAAAAGAGAAATTCACGCTAGCATTTCTCCTCAGCTCACATAGCACACACTGCCATTGACTCTTTCCTACTTGTCTTCTATGCTGAAGACACAAGTTCTACACTACGCAGGGTAGCCAACCTCCTGGTGGACCTTGGAGATCTCCCAGAATTACAACTGATATCCGGGGTACAGTGCTAAATTCCCCTGCAGAAAAAGGCTGCTTTGGTGGGTGGCCTCTATACCTCGCTGAAGTCTTTCCCCTGCCTTCCCCAGGCTACACTCCCAAATCTCCAGGAATTTCCTAACCTGGAGTTGGCAACTATAAGATGCACGTTCTTTTGAGCCCCTGCAGAATGCTCTTCCCCCTCCTTGCTGAACAATGCACAGCCTAATCCCGTGCATCACGATTAAGTTGCCAGGTGGCCAGAAAACACGACTTCCAGGCACCCTAGAAATTAAAAAAACACCTTCTTATTAGAAGTACGGAATTGTTTTAAGTACGGAACGTGCCCCCACGAACCCAACTTACACTGGATATTAGACAGCTCAGCCCCTTTCATCAGTAGAAACTAAAACACAGCATCAGCTCTACAGAATAGAAAGGATAAAAGTCTAAAAATGCAAGGACATAGTATTCTAATCTCCCACCGCCCCACAAAGCTCCAATGAAATCCCTGGCCAGACCTCCCGAGATAGGGGATGAGGTGTAACCAGGAGCCAATCCCTCCGGCTCCCAATGAACCACTGAGGGGAAAGAAATTTACATCGGAAGAAGCGGACTGCGACTCACCAAGGCGAATATGTAAATCAATGTTGACCGTCTTTAAAGTGCCAACGGACTTTTGTTTAATTTTGCTACAACAGATTAAGATGGCTATCCCTTGCGAACACTCTTGCCCCGCATACCTATAGCTATCTATCCATCCGCGTCTGTGTGTGTGCGCGCGTGTACACACTCACACACGCAAAATGAAACCCGGAAATCAGATCGCGACGACGTTCACCAGAGCCCGTAGACGCAAAGGAAAGGCGCGCCGCGCTTAATGCTCGGCCGGAAGCAGCCGGCTGAGTCGGAAGTGACATCATAACGGAGAGCCGGAATTGGGGGTGCGGGGTTCGGCCGTCTCTGATACGATCATCTCCGGGGGGGTCGGATTTCGAGCGGTCGCGGTAGGAGTCTCGGCTCCGGTTGAGGCAGGAAACAGGCCTGTGGTGAGCGGCGGCGGCCCGAGGAGGGCGCGAGGCGAGTCCAATGGCGGGCGGGGAGGCCGCCCCAGCAGCGGGGCCCGGCCCTGTGGCTGAAGGCGGCGAGGGGAAAGTGCGGGAAGCCGGTGACGCCCGCCTGGACTGGGTGGAGGCGCTGCGCGGCTACTGCGAGCCTGAGCAGCACTGGAGGTACCGCCGCGAGTTCCTGATTCGCAACGCCGAGGCCTCGTCGTTGTCGCCGAACGGGGAAGGCGGCGGTGACGAGGCGGAAAGGCGGCGCCTCGTCTCTTTCTCTATGGTGTGGGCCAACCACGTCTTCCTGGGGTGCCGGTGAGTCGCCAGTTTGGTGGTAAAGAATAACGATATTGATTTTTTTTTTCTCTCCTCCAAAGCACGTTGTCTAGGTTTTGTTGAATTTGTAAGACCTTTTTAATTTAACCCGGGAACGATTTTTTTAAAAAATAAATAACGAAAGTAGTTTTGACTGTTTTTGGTGGCTTTGGAGATCGATCAAGACGGGTAGCCGTGTTACTCTGTCTATAGCAGTAGGAAAGAGCAAGAGCCCAGTAGCACCTTAAAGACTAACAAAATATGTGGCAGGGTCTGAGCTTTCCTGAGTCACTGCTCACTTCTTCAAATGTCTCACGAAAGCTCAAAGCCTGCCACATATTTTGTTAGTCTTTAAGGTGCTACTGGACTCTTGCTCTTTTGTATTGGTAGCTTTGGGTCTCTATGAACTGAGGGAGACATTCGTGCAACTGGTACCTGTTTGACAGTTACTCCTAATATATGGCATTTGTGGTGGGGAAATGCAGGACTATCTCTTTTTGGGCTTACATAAATAGCATTATGCCGGCTAGACCCATGTACTGCTGGATAATGTGCTATCATTGTTCTATAGTGAACATTACTCTCATGGATTGTCCTGTCCAGAAAGGAAAATCTGAAGGTGAATCATTACCAGAACGCATTGATAGTATCCAACTTGAGAGTTCACCTCCGCTTTTTCTTATCTGTGGGAACAGTTATCGCAGTCTGTTCTGTTACACTGTTCCCTTTGTGCTTATTAGCCATTGTGATGTAATGTCTGCACTTGTTCTAAATTAGTAAGAGTAGTTGTGATGTCTTGCCCAAGTTTCTTTTTGTTTGTACGTGCTCTGTCAGTTTGCAGCCAGGGATGCTTTAAAAAAAGGCTGTGTTACTAGAATACTCCAAAAGGGCACACTGGGGGTTCAGCATACTACAGCTTGAACCATGAGGCAGACTCAGAACATTATACTAAATCTGAGTCTGCCTCATCTCTCCCACTCCCTCAATTTTGATTCCATTGTCCTTGCACTACTATATTGTGTTTGAAGCTTTGACCCCATTATGTAGCTTACCTATCTAGAGCTGGGAAAGACATTCTTTCCTTGGTGGAATTATTAACATTTTGGATATCTGGGAAACACTGTATTTCCCTTTTTTGGTATCTTATGTGCAAGAAGAAGGGGACAGCAAAGGACAGTATTATCGATGCAACGAACATGAAATTAAGCAAACTCCGGAGCATGACGGAAGACAGGAGGGCCTGGCGTGATGTGGTCCATGGTGTTGTGAAGAGTTGAACAACAACAACATGTGCAATGATATTTTAGTGGATTTGGGATTTTTTTTTCCTCCGGTAGTAATGTGAAATTCAAACATGACAGCAGATGTTTTGAGGATCAGTGGTTTGGGACAAATTTGTCCTCATGTTGCTAATTGCCACCTTCTTTCCCTGCTCAGGTATCCTCAACAGGTGATGGAAAAGGTGCTGGACATGGCTGCAGGCATCACAGTCACCAGTGCTCCAACCCACACTCTGAGAGACGAACTGGTTGCCAAGGTGAAACGAGGCATATCAAGTAGCAATGGTTAGCAGATCATAGCTGTGCAACTATAAACAGGAGCCTAGTAAATTAATACATGAATACATCTCAAATATAGCAATTGGATTTAGTTTTTAAATTGTCATTATTCTGATACTGTGAGTTGATTTTTGGCTCTAGTTTTTTGCTTTGATAAAACGTAATTTCCAAAGGAGAGTGGGCTAAATTTGTCTTTATTTATATAAAAAGTGTTAACCAGTACAAGACCTTTATACATTATGCCTCTCAGCTTGCCTTGCAAATGGTGTTGTAGCAGTAGCAAGTAAATAAATTGGTTTTTATCCACACCATACCTAATGGATTAATATCTACTTTAAATGCATGATTTAAAAGTTAATCTCACAGATCTCTATAATTATTGCCAAACCTTTTATTAATCTAGACATCTGCATTCTGGCATTTGATTTGATTCATTGGGTTTGTATCCCACTCTCCCCTGTATCCTCCCACTCCCCCGTATCCAGGCTCAGAGTGGGTTACATCACTGGTAAAAACATTTAACAATTCAACATTGACATCTCTAGTGCATAAATACAATAAAATACCTAATAATATATAATAAAATAAAATGTTGTGTGTGTATTTGATATTAGGACAATGAAGTTTGCTCTGAATGATGAGAGTAATTCTTTAACATTTCTTTTTAGAAGGGCTAGAAGAGCCTTGCAAGAAGCGAGCTGTTGGCACAGACAAAGCTTCTGAAGATAGCAGAAGTGATGCAAAGTCTACCAAGGCAGAAGTGCCCATGGAAACAGGCACTGAACCTATGAAGAACGTAGAAAAAGAGAAAGCAGAAGATCCAGAGAAGCCACTGTCTTCCACTGTGGCTCCGAAGGTGGTGTCCACAGCAGCACCAACTGTGGCTCCGAAGGTAGTATCTGCTGTGGCGCCCGCTGTGGCTCCGAAGGTGGTGTCTGCAGCAGCCGTGGCTCCGAAGGTGGTGTCTGCAGCAGCCGTGGCTCCGAAGGTGGTGTCTGCAGCAGCACCAGCCATGGCTCCGAAGGTGGCATCCGCGACAGCAACAGCCATGGCTCCGAAGGTGGCATCCGCGACAGCAACAGCCGTGGCTCCGAAGGTGGCATCCGCGACAGCAACATCCGTGGCTCAGAAGATGGCATCTGCTGGGGCTCAAAAGGTGGCACCCATGGCACCTTCAACTGGAGTAAAAGTAGAATCCAGACTTGCTAATTATGAACCCACAGCAGTTACTAGGCACAAATCAGTTCTGGCTTCTTCTATATCTGGTCCTGAGTCAAAAATGAATGACTGCTTAACCAAACCTTCGGAATCCAAATCTGAAAATGTGTTAACATCTGAAAAGAAAGACAGTTTGGAAAGTGCTGCAGTGTTAGCTTCCAAAAGCAGTTTACACGTGACTGCAGTTCCTGCCAAAATGCCACTGAAATTGTTAACAAGCGAAGATGCAAAAGAGAGGCAGCCATTCTTCAACAGATTGTACAAGGCTGTTGCTTGGAAGCTGGTTGCTGTCGGAGGCTTTAGTCCCACTGTCAATCATGTAGAACTTCTAAACTCATCCATTCAGTCTGTAAAGGCAACATTAGATGTTGATTTTGTTCCACTGAAAGAGCTTACAGATTTACCTCAGAATAAAAGCTCTCAGGAAAGTGTGGTTTGTGAACTGAGATGCAAATCTGTATATTTGGGTACTGGTTGTGGAAAAAGTAAGGAAAATGCCAAAGCAGTAGCTTCAAGGGAAGCACTAAAACTGTTTCTCAAGAAGAAGGTTACTGTGAAATTATGTAAAAGAAAGTACAAAGGAAGGGAAGTTGAAGATTTGGTGCTTCTTGATGAAGAATCAAAACCATTAAATTTACCTCCTGCTTTAAGAAATCCTCAAGAAATATTGTAAACCAGTGGAGCAGCTGCTGTTTATATTAGCAAATAATGTTTTATCACAAAAACTAAGTTACTTTTGTATACTGAAGTAGATGCCCAGATACTTTGTATTTCTTCTCAGCTTTTCAGGACAAATACCATTCCTGTTAGTTTCACTCCGTAGCAAATATAAATAATTTGATATAGATGTAAAGCGTGCAAAAGTATGCCTTAACATACATAGCACACTAGTGTGCTTTTCTATTTCTTAAATAGTCTACCTAAGTCTTCTGTTTTAATGAAATAAGGTATAATTTGCTGTTCAAAATGGTCTAATTTTGTACCCAGTAATTTGGTAGTAGTGATGTTCACTTTAGAACACATATCTTTTTAGCTGCAAAGGAATCCGTATACAAGAACCATTGTACCTGGATAACAGAAAGTTGTCTAAAAATTTACAAACATTGAATCACATGCTTCAGTTCTTATGTTTATATGCTTAAAAAGAAAATAGCTGATGCAGATTATTTTAATGAAGTTGTAATATTTTAAATCTGAATTTAAAAAGTTGGTCCTGTTTTAATATTGCCCTTCAAATTGTCGGTAAACAGTCACCAGGATTACTTACCATTAAACTTCATTAACCAGAAGCAACTTATATTTTGTGAGAAGTACCACTTTTACTTTTTCAAAAAAAATATGACTTTCTAGGTTAAGCTTATTTTATGTCTACTGTAATTGGGGTGTGAGATTTTTGAGAAGTTCTTGTGTAATACTTGGCTTTCATTAAGCATTTTCAAATAACAGTACATTTTTATAATTGCAAAAGGAAAATATTAGTCTTAAACACTGTCATTAATTTGCAGCTTCTGAAAATAATACAAAGTCCTGATTCTGTCTGCATGGGATTATCAGTTTGGAATATCTGTATATATTAACAGATTTTTCTAATTATTTTTTTTAATATTCTCAGGAGATAAAAGTCACTATGCTGAACATAATGAGCAGTAGTGCTGCGATACCCAAATGACTCTCTGTGTACCATCATTTTTACCTATCCTCGGTGCTGGGAAATCCCTCCTGCATCAATAGAGCATTCCTCAACTTGCAGGAAGGTGGCTAGGGGTATATTTCAGCAGGCAGTACAGTAAATAAAGTTGGCATATATTGAATTATCTTTAAGGCATATTTCCATGAGTTGAAGCTAAATATTGCATCTTTATGCAGCAGCCCTCGGGGAATCAAGAAATCCTTATCATAAAACGTGTAATCCATATAATTGTCTGGTAATGTCCATGCAGAATAGGGTTTATGATTCCCCTCCCCCTTTAGGAATTATTCATCTTGCTTGACTAAAAGTAGCTTGCAGTGTGAGAACTGCTACCTGCAGGGACTGGGTGGGTGGGGAGTCTGTACAAGCATTAGCTTTTTGTGTGTATCTAAAGTGGCTCTGTGGATCATAGCTATAGTTGGGTTCTGTATCGTTTGAATAAATACTAAAACTATATTTTTGAACCACTCACTGCAATACTCTTGTTTGTTTTGAACTCTGGTTCATACTAAGTTGTTCTGAAATGTATTTTGACAGTTGAACAAAAGTCTTCCATCCACGGTTACTTTTTCCCTAAACCACAGAGTTATAGTTTTTCTGTGCAATAAATACAGCAATAGCTAGAGCTGCGCTGATTCCGAAATTTAGGACCAAAGGTATTACTTTCTAATCAAGAAGGCATTTCTTAGTTCAACTGGCAACTGGTGTACAGGTAGTAAATTAACAGTAAAATGGACATTTCTGCAGTTGCTTAAGTAATATAGTTTGCCTGATGTCTTGTAGAAAATGCAGTATTGAAATCTTTAGTAAATGATTTTGAAATGAGTCTTTTGTGTAGGAATAAAATGAGTAATACAGAAAATAATGTGTTTGGCAAGTGGTTTATTAAGGAAGAGTGATGTCCTGTATATAAATAATTCATTAAAATAAAGGCATTTTCACTTATTTGATTCCTTTTCAGACTTAAATGAGTTAAAATTATTTCATTCAGAACTAGAGAGAAAACACTTTACATCTGAGTTCACTTCTGATATATGCAACATGAGACATATCACATAGATCCAAAATGCTCTTCTGCTAGTGATATGGTACTGATACTAGTGGAACAATGTTGCTGTGGGGGTTGCAACTGTTGGAAAAATTGGCAAAAATACTTCAATATTTAGAGTTTGCAATGGATCTGCTTCATTGGAGAGGAAGCATTTCTTTCTGTGTAAAATCTTTATTTCTAAAGGAAAGGGTACACAGGAAAATCTACAAAATAACAAAGCCCTAAAGCTACATCTCTACAGCTACAGAACAGGCCGACCACAGGGTCTCACAACAACAACAACAGCAACAATGGAGATTCTTCTTGACCCCTAGAAGGAAATCACCTGAATACATTAACCAATGATTGTGAATAAACAGATTTCCCGGGCTTTCTTGCCATTGGCTCTGTGCCAGGTTTCCCTTCCAGGTCAATCTAAACAATACCATGCAAGGTAAACAGATTAACCCTATAATGACTGAATTAGACCTTGCAACACACACATTTCCAACAGAAACAACAATGTCTGCCAGTTCCCCCATTTTGCCCCCAGGCTGTGGGTTAGGGTCCCCTGACTCAGGAGAGTTACAGGGGAGGTAGGAAAGCCACGCCAGAGGCTTTACTGGTCATAGAACCTTGAATCCAATCCACAGCATGCTACGCCCACTCTGGAGCAGATAGGTTTGATGGTAGTTTTTTCCTCCATACATGCTTTAACTGTAAATCAGAATGCTTTTATTTCCTGCAGTAGGAAAGTGTCCAGTACCACCTTAAAGACTTAACAAAATTTGTGGCAGCGTAGGAGCTTTTTGTCAGTCACTACTCATTTCGATACAGCTAGAATGTGAGTCCATCTGTCCTTGCATCTTGGAGAGGAGTGATTTCAGATGCCAAATGACAATAGCAGGCATGATTGGATTAGGTGTGATATGTAGAGGGATAGCAGGTGTGGAGAAATCAGCATGAGACAGGAAACCTAGGTCTCAATTCAGTCCAGTCTTGCGCTTCATTATCAGTTGCAATTCAGCGGTGTCTAATCTCCCTTTGAAATTCCTTTGTAAGAGAACTGCTACTCTTAGGTCAGCAACTGAATGCCCTGAAAGGTTAAAAAGTTCCCCTACTGGTTTTTGAATGTCTAATGTCAGACTTCTATCCATTTATTCTTTGTTGTAGGAACTGGCCTGTTTGTCCAATGTAGAGGGTGGAAGGGCATTGCTGACACGTGATGGCATAAATCACATTAAAGGATGAGCAAGCATATGAACCTGAGATGGTTCTGGGTTCATTGGTGGTGGTGTGGCATCTTGGTTTGTTGCAGGCCTTGGTACCAGAGTCCATGTTACTGTTAAGTAGTTTATCATTGTGGGTGAGAAGTTGTTTTAGGTAAGCAGAAAAGGTCAA